TTCACCGGTGATGAGGAGGAGGAGGGGGTGTACCTACAAGGCACTCCGATGCCAAAGTAAATATATGGGCAGAGTGATCACAAGTACAGAAAAAGGGGTAAGGAGTGAATTACCTGACCCTCTTGTGAATGAGGGTATTTATAGAGAGACCTCAGCGCTGGGCCAACGGTCACTTGTGTTGGGCTGGCTTATCAGGCTCAACCCAAGTAACTGCTAGGGCTTACGTGGTGTAGTAAAGACCAGGATGTGGTCTTCGCCCTAGTCCAACTGTCCCGCGATCTCCGGAAAGTGGGTTTGACCTGCTCTTTCGGAGGTGGGCAGTTGGTTGGTGACGTGTCCCCGCGGAGGAGAGCATGTGGAGAACGTGTGAGGGACACGTTGTCCTACCCGACGAGGGATCGGGTTCTGCCCGTGAAGGGGATAAGGTTCTGCCAGACAGGGCAGTGCTTGACCGGTGGGCATCCTCCTGCCCGACGTGGTTGGGGTAGGACCTTCTCGCGGGGAGACCTATCCTGCTTGTCAGGGATCCTGTGCCCGACGTTGTGGTCCAAGGTGGGCTGGGCTTGGTGGAATACTATTGGGTTGGGCCCGCATGGCCAGACCGGGGCCCAGGCCAGAACAGTATGATAAACAAATTTCTGCTAAAGAACGAAGATTCGAGAAATTCTGAGTTTAGTTTTCGTTGAAAATAATATTTGATCAAACTTATAACCTCTTTTATATATATATATATATATATATATATATATATATATATATATATATATATATATATATATATATATATATATATATATATATATATATATATATATATATATATATATATATATATATATATATATATATATATATATATATATATATATATATATATATATATATATATATATATAAAGGGAATATGTAGATTTGAATTGGCTTATTTTGTTTCATAATTACCTTTTTAATCTCAATTGATAAAAAGTTACTGCTCTATGTTATTTAAGAAAAACACTTTATAAAGGTAAAAAGAGAGAGCATATTAAATTTGAACATGAGAATGCATATTATAAAATTTACATAAAAAACATTCTTTTATAATTTGACCGGTATGCACACTAAAAAAAAGTAAATAGACGAAATCTAGAATGCCAATTTGAAAGGTAATAAGAAAGAAAGACAAGAGAGACTCTATTTTTTTTTCAATGCTGCACTTGTATTTTATGTGTTTTACATGTTTTTTCTCAATGATACTACTAAATTTTGTTGATCAATTTAGCAAAGGTTATTGATTGGTTTTGATTTTATCATTTTTTTTAATTCATTTTTTATACAGGTTTTGCCAAAGTTAATTTCATTTTTGTTTTTATTTTATTTTATTTTTCTTACATGAAAGTGACTGTTCTTATAAAAACAACTAAATTTTACTAATTAAATTACTTTAAATAATTGAAATGTAAACAATTAATTTGATTAAATTAATTAAATAATTATTAGTTTTAATTAAAATAGATAATAGAATAAATATTGACAAAAAATATCTTTTTTAATAACATAAAATTGGTAGCATTAATTTTTTAATTTAAGAATATTTTTTCTTTCAAAAATAATTACACTTCTCTCTTTTCTATTTATTTCATACTTATCTTATAACAAACAATACATTAAATCTACTTTATTTTTTATTCATTTCTCTCTTCTTAGACTCTTTCTCACATTCTCTCTCTTCTCATTTCCATCTCATTACTAAACACACCCTAAGTCATCTTTATATATATATATATATATATATATATATATATATATATATATATATATATATATATATATATATATATATATATATATATATATATATATATATATATATATATATATATATATATATATATATATATATATATATATATATATATATATATATATATATATATATATATATATATATATATATATAAAATAAAAATAACAATTTCAATAAAAAATTCTTGTAAGTTATAAATCATTTAAAATAAAATAAAAAATTTGTTTTAAATTATAAATCATTTTTAAAAAAACTGTTCCAAATTATAAAGCACTCTCTAGTCTAATAAAACATCAAAATTTATTTTTCATTCATATCATTTTTTATTTATTATTCAATTTTTTAATTTTTTTTTTAAATTCGCATTCTAATGTCATTAAGAAATAATAATTTTACAAATAATTTATATTTTAATTTTTTCATACAAAACTAACTATATTTTTTAATTTATATGAAATAATCCAAATATCATATACTTCAGACTTATAAATATGGTGTCTGATCTAATTCAACTTATATGAATTAATTAAGGTGTAAAGTTTTGGTACAAGATTTAATACTGTTCTCGATAACAACTTTAAAAATTAAAAAAAATAAAATAAAATAACTTATTAATTATTTTGAATATTCAATTTTTTCTTTAATAGGATTTTGTTTTAATTTTTGAATTATTTGTTCATGTTTAAATTAATTTTGTTTAAAAATTAATTTGTTCAAATTCTAAGAGTATAGTGTGATCCACTAGACTCAAACTTTTGTTGATAGAAAATATTGGTGACTTCAACAATGTCATAAAAACTCAAGATCGGATCGGGGGAGAATAGTGAGTGAAGCTGAATATAATGATCTTGTTACTATGATGCAAAATGTTGGCCTTTATGAGATGGACGGTTTAGATGACTACTACCTGTTGTCACCATTTTTGTTTGTTATCACTATGGAATATCTTAACAGACTCTTCCTCAAGATGCAAAGAGATTCAAATTTCAACCACCATGCTAAATGCGAAAGGCTCTATCACAAACTTAACTTTTGTTGATGATGTCCTACATTTTTCCAGGAGTGATTATAGGTCTTAAGTTTTTGTTGGAGACTCTTGCTAAATCCTCAAACTCTATTGGTTTGTCTGTCAACCATATGAAATGTAAGGTGTTTTTTGGTGGGGTTGATGAAGCCCTACGATGCAAATCACTAACTTGACCAACTTTGAGCAAGGTACATTCCCATTTGGATACTCGGGTATCTCCTTGACCTACAAACAATTGAGTGACCACCATTACATGCCGCTTGTGGATAAAATTGTAGGGAAGATTAAGCATTGGAGTAGTCATCTTCTAAGCTATGCTGGCAAAACTCAACTTATCAGGTTTGTATCTTTTGTTGTGGCTAACTTTTGGATGCAGTGTCTACCACTCCCCAAAACCGTGATTCAAAAAATTGATGCAAATTTGAGGTCTTTCCTTTGGACTGGTAAATCTGATATCAGTAGGAAAAGTCCTATTTCGTGGAAAACCATCTGCAGCCCTAAGAAGTTTGGCGGTCTCAACATAATTGAATTGGGATCCTAGAACTCAACTACAATGTTGAAGCTATTACGGAATATATGCAAAAAGTATGATAATCTTGGGTAAGGTAGGTTCATACCTACTTCTTAAAAGGTTCTAATATTATGGATCTGAACATGAAAGATAGCCACTCTCCTCCTTTATTTAAAACTATTTTCCATCAAAGAGACAACCTGGAACTGATGCATACTTTGTGGCAAAATCTTATCCATAGTGATATATTCACTTCAAAGCAAGTTTACTTGAAGCTTAGATGTGGGATGATAATAAAGTAGCTTGGAGTAGAGTCGTCTATGGCAATGCAGCAAGACCTTGCGCGGTAATGACCTTGTGGCAGGCATGTCATGGGAGACTTCCTACCAAAGCTAAACTCCATAGACTTGGTATGATTGAAAATGCTACTTGTTGTTTATGCATAAGTGAGTAGATCATGTAACACCTTTTCTTTGATTGTAGTGAGACTAAGAGTATTTGGATGAAAGTTCTGTCTTAGGTTCAAATTAGTCATATCCCTACATATTGGCTGGAAGAATTACTTTAGATCAATTCTCATTGCAAAGGGAAGGGGTGGAAGGGCATCAATCCTTAGACTCGCCGTAACGGAAACTTTATATGGTATTTAGAGATATCACAATGACGTTTGTTTTGGTACTAATGTAGATAAGATGAAAATAGCGGATAACATTATTAACACTATAGTTTATAGAGAATGGTATAGCGAGAGACTTAGAACTCATATCGCCAAATTGATGATATAGTTTCTAGTCTCTTTTTGTTTTTTGTTTTGTCTGTTTTTTTGGCTGGATCTCTTACGTCTCGCTCTTTTATTTAGTTTTTTTGAAATTAATACATATTTTTTAATTAAAAAAAAACTACAAATATGAAAAGTCTCATAGTTACAAATAAATTGAGTATTTCTTTCAATTACATCATCATAGCAATATTTTCTTTGTTTTTTCTAGTCATTGTAATTGTATTAACATGAATAAATAATAATTAAGTAGTTGATACTTATAAATCAATAATTTTTTGAGAAAAAAATATAATCTACAGCGTTACAAAATTACTATTCTCCACTTGATATTTATTATTAACAAAATGCATCAATAATTAATAAAAGTAAATTAATAAAATTATCATTTGATTTATTTTATTTTTCAATTTCATTTGCAAAGATGAAAATCAACAAAACAAAAAAGTTCTGCATACTAAAATAAAACTTTACACATCATTGATGTTTTACATTAAAGACAAGGTTAACTTCTACTCTCAATACATAGATAAATATTGTCGTAACACCTATGTATTGAATTTTTTTAAAATTTAAAAATTGTTTTTCTTAATGTAAAATTTCAATTTTTAAGATGTTTAGCATGATTTAAAAATAGAAATTTTAAATTAAAAAATTAAAACACTACATTTAAGAAAACATTTCTATATTAGATTTATGCGCCTTAAGGCACAAATCCACAAATCCATAAAGATGTAGTTGAATACAGAACTTGAAAAGAGGATGAATGGAATTAATTGAACTATACAAAGCAATTCAAAGATGTATGCTTGTTACTGAACACACAGAGTTAAGTAACAATGGCTAAAGAACAAGAGCCCCTATACTAGTAGAAGTAAAACTAAAACTCAATACATTTTTAGTTTTCGTCATCTGAATCAAAAGCATGTTTTTTCTTCAAAGACTTTATGACATCCAAACGCTTATCATCTCTAGCTATGCATTCACCTGTAAAAGACTTGACTTTCGGAACATTCAAAGAACTAAGCTGTGGTGTCACTGCCCCCTTGTTGATTTCCTTGAGCACAGAACGAGCTGTTGCTGCAGCTGCAGCATCTGCCATTGCCGAAGCAATTCTTGAACCACTTGGGAACTGGTCCTTGTCCTCATTTTGTTCATGTGTTTGTCCTTGTTCCTTGGCCAGATTCTTAGAATCATCAGGTGATTGATTTGCACCTGGTTTTGGCATGGAAGCTACAGCCTCAGCAACTGTTGCTTTAGCTCTTTCTGCTTCATATTTCTGCATGTCATAGATCAGCTCTTTCTGCAGCTGTTTATCAGCAACCAATATGTCATCGATCTCATTCTTGTAGTCCTTGAGAAGGACCCGAAGGCATTCCATGAGAGATCCTATGAGGGGACTGTTCTTGGTTTCCAGTAGACGTTTCAACTCTATGAAGATGGGTATGGTGTTTTGAATGAGGCCCTTCTTGACTGCCTGAGTTATAGACTTTCTAGTTGAAGATCCATTTTCTCCCCCTTCTTCTTCTAAGTCTGCCGACTCAGATGATCCACGAGTAGCTTGAATGCGTATCTCCTTACAGCCAAGAATTTGAAAAGTATCCTGATCCCACAGTTAATGTTATAATTAGGACATAAGTTGAGATGTGCTAAATTATGCGTCAGGACAACTTGATTGACGAATATTGCTGATAAAGATGTGATGAAGATCAATACCTGTAGAACAGACTGTCCCGTTGCATCTTCAATATTAAGCATACCATCAGAAGCTGCAGCTAGAATTTCTGCACATAACTTGGCAAAGGTTGCGAGAAGATGCTCCGGAGCCATTTGCTTTAGTAGAGAAACATAAATATGCATTCTTCTAGACCTTGATTTTTCATCAGCACCCCTACAAAAAAAGATGCAACAGATTAAGCACACAAAATACATCAACTGCATAATTGTTTTACCAACTGCTAATTGGGATCCCTTTACCTGATGGAGAAAAGTTGGCTGTCCTTTCGTGATTCGCCAGACTCGCGATGTCCAATATGGCCATGACAGTCATTCAAAACGAAAACAGCCTCAACAAAACTATTATATGCTAAGAGAGGAGCCTTGACTGGTGACAAAAAAAAACACTAGTCAAAGTCATAAAACAAATGTTATTCAATTCATGTAACTGCAAGTAGAACTATCGAGGTAGAGCTTCAAACCTTTCAAAATATTTCCAAAGAGAAAATCTGCTAGCTGCCTAATCTTCTCTGATTCATCAACAAGTGACAAAAGGAAACGAAGAAATAGCACTCCTCTCCACTTCACATAGTCCCTCTAGGATAAAGAAAAGTAGACTGTTTTTAGGCATAACTAAAAGCAAGGGTGTGAAATAGAAGCGAAAGGGGACATATTTAGACACCAGATAATTATAAGGTGTGAAACAGAAATAATGTAGTCAAAGAAGGAAAGAAATAATACCTGCAACAGTCTGGATAGCAATATGAACGTTTGCCTTCTCACAAGTTCACAGGGATCTAAGAGACACCTTGTGATCTTGGTTATATAACTGATAGCTTCAAAGGAAAATAAGTTAGCAAAGACACAAATTATTTGACATTATTAAATGTGTCTGTTCCGCATTATGTGCACATTGGACTTCTTCCCCTGCACAAAGTAATAGTTCTCCCATGTTCATTTCATCCACTACTTGTTTATCTTCAAGTTGTATAAGAACATTAGATTATTCCATTTGCATTATTAATCTTGTTTTATTCAAAATCACTTTAAAGCAGTATCTCTTACAAGGCTTACCCATCAATAAGAGCAGTATACCGAACACAGAAGTCTGCCATCATGACCACAATATTATTGCGAAGAGCTGCAGCATCGCTCTTTTCAAGCTCCTGCAATTGTATCCCAAAACAGGACATATTTTGATTATGAAGCAAGACAACAAATACCAGTCCTTGAGGCGTAAAAGAAAGTCTCAAGACCAACCTGCACAAACAGAGGAATATAGTTCTTTGCAAGCTTCCCATCAGCAAGGCAAAGTTTGCCCATGGCCAGCCACCCTTGAATATAAAAAGAAGGAGCTTCTTGTTGTAGAGTGGTTGCAGGGCCTGGTAGCTTATTTAATTTCGGGCCTGAATTCCCAGAGGTGATGATAGTGTGCAGTAATGGAGTTACAGCACTCATATCAGCAGATGGGCAGACAATAACTAAAGATCCAATTGTATAAATTGCCGTGATTGCTTTTGACAATGATTTGCGCTTTCGTACTGATTTCCTACCTTTACTAGGCCCACTTCGAGGTGGAGTAAAGAAGCCAGTTTCTGCATCTTGCTCTGAATTATCTGATATAAAAGTTTCTATTATTTGAGAAGCTCTGGACAAAACTTGGTGTACGCATCTCAAGACTAATACTTCTGCCTCCATGTCACTTGAAGCTTTTCGCTTGCACAATGTTTTAAGTGCTTTTACATGAGCATCAACCTGTCAGCCAAAGTAGCAATTCATTATAGATTTGCAGTGCACTATTAGCAAAAGTAGCATTTCATTAAAGTTTTGTAGTACACTAAATGATATCTTCTGTCTTTTTATCTTGATTCTCGAATACTAACTAATATTTGTCTACGAAAACATTTGTTCCACCGACTATGCTAAGAAATTATTCAATATTTAAGTATAGACCGTTGGACTACTGATTGTGTGTGAAAGTGAGATTATCAGAGAAATAATATTTATATGCAAATAATGTTGTCTATGAGTGATCTTTTCTTCTTTGTTGGCGCATGAAGGGTGTGAATAAGATGAAAGCTTAAGCATCAGATGGAGAAAAAATTTCAAGAACCTATAAAATGATAATTTCAAGACCTCCAGCCCAGTCCATGAGAAACTGTGATCATAGACAGATTTCGATACTACAATATTTGATGTGCTAAGAAATTATGAAACATGACGCAAAAGATGGTAATTGAGAGACAGAGAAACATCGGGAGAAAGTAGTTTATGAACTTTTTAGTCATGCAGAACAAGTAAAGCCATATCCTTAACAATGTCTGACAGAACGCCATCAAGGGAACCATTCAAGAATGAGGCAAGATTAAGAAGCACTAGCGTTAGGACTTAGTTATGAACTTAATCAATAATACTATGTAATGATTACCTCAGTTGAATGCATGTTGAATTTTTCAACCCGTTTGAGCAAGTTGTGAGCCAAACCAGCAGCAGGTTCATCTGGCAGCTCGATAGAAACATTAGAGATTGTTTGCAATAGGAAAACTCGGTCACTAGCCCAGGCAACATCATTGCATTCTATGCTTTCTTCTTCTCCATTTGCATTTTTCTGTACAAATGGACTTTGAAACTCACCTTTCACTTTATGTTTGTCAAGAAGCTGCCAATGATGATGAAGAAAATCCCAGTCCACTGCTTTGGGAAGGAATACTGACACCTCTGATAAAAGAAACCAAGCACCTGGTGGGGCAGTCCACTTTTCTATTGGCATGCTATGTTTCAGCCAGATAGACTCAGACACCTTGATTATATTCTGAAGTGCAGTAACAATTTTGTGTTTCAAGCGTTTCTTTTTGCCCAGATTTGTGCAAATTTTTTTAACCCATGGACTCACCTCCCCATTGCAAATCTCTCTCAGGAGATACAGAATCCCTTGAGGGAAAGACGTTGCCATCTCTTCGTCTACACCTTTTTCTATCTCTTTGCTACCAGATGTAGATCCAACATATGAAGAAGAAGAAGTTGTGCCTCTAGATATTCGATCCAGAACAAGTTCTTCAAACACATTCTCACATTCTTCTTGGATGCTAGTCTCATTATCAGCTATTTGACGAGGAACCGAGTGTAGCCACTCAGTTATTACCGTTTCAGCTGAGAATGTTTTGAATGCCTACATATCGTTAAAGTAAATTCCATAAATTATACTGTTATTAGTAAAAAGGTACCAAGAAAAAAACAGAACTTTTAGGGGACTAGTGAGATGCCTAACAGAAAGGAAATTGGTTTTAAAATTCCTCAATTAAGCTTGTAAACCAAAATCCAAATAAGGAAGGGATTGTTTTATTTCTCTTCCTCTAATTTATCCCTCTTAACCAAAGAATGCTTAATAGAATTATTTGTATTAACTTCACTAACTCTCTTGTTTACAAACACTTAATTTAAATTAAAATAATACAACAACAACCAAGTCTTATCGCACTAAGTGGGGTAGGCTACATGGATCAACTTCCGCCATAATGTTCAATCCAGGATCATGCTATTATCTAAATTTAAATTAAAATAATGAAAAAATAAAAAATAACACAGTATTTTTGCTATCTTCAGTTAAAATTTAAATAGCTCTAATAAAGAGAGAAGGAAAAAAAAACATGGGTTTTCTCAATCCAAATATACAAAATTTAGCATTTTGCATCAGTTTACAATTCTGCCTCTTCCCATGGCATGGCACAACAAAACCCGATGAAATAAGGTAAAAAGAATGCCTCAGAAAGAGCTTCAACGGCCGCTTTCCGGATGCTAGAGAGTGAATCGGAACAAGCCATTCCCATTGTCTTAAGCACCACTTCATCAATAGCACCGCCAAGCAGAGCAGTCAATTTAGTAACAAGCAAAAGAGCAGCTTTTCTCACAACCGCCTTCTCATCCACACACCTTCTCCTCAGCAGCTCATTGATTCCCTTTCCTCCCACACTCACATCATTCCCATCACCAAAACCCATAAACTTTTTTAAAACCACAGTAGCCCTATCACTACCTGATAGAAGCCCAACAACCTGCGCCAAATTCGAAATTGCCCGAGCTCGAGTCATAGCACTAACATCCGAACAACGCTTTACCAACGCCTCCAAACACCACATTCCCCACGCCTCTTTCCCTTCTTTTTCTTCTTCCTCCATGGAATTCACTCCTAAAGGATCCTTCAACGTAGTTAACAATTTCAAAATAAGATCAACCCCCAAAAGCCTTAGATTTCCTTTTCCTTGAGTAATCTTCACAACATACTTGACAAACCCAATTTGATCCTCCAATTCCATAACCTTAACAACCTCCATGATAAATTCCACAGCCATCCCTCTAGGTTCAGCTTTATCAGGTGCCTTAATTGCCAAATACCTAGGAAAATTAACCAAAGCTTTCCTCACACCAACAGAATCCCTGGCAAGACTTGTCACAAAACTAACAGCAAAAGTCCTCACTAGAGATTTCGGCATAGGAGCAATAGGAGACAGTGACTTCAAAACCTCAGCAGCAGTCTCCGAAGGCTCACCATGCTCCGGTTTCAAAACCTCTTTCAGAATCCTCGAGCATAGAGCAACCAATTTACTGTACTGAAACTCGTCTCCACATGATTCAATAGCTGTTAAGGGAACCTCTGAAATGGTTTGAATTAACGATTTAAGACTTTCCGGGAAACGATCGAGGTGAATCAACGACATAACACTGACTAGCTTCTCGAAAAGAGAAAGCAAAACCCTAACATCGAGTTTGTGTTGAGAGTTTGTGGAATTAGGTTCAGCTTCATCATTTTCCGGGGTTTTTTTGTTTTTGGAATTGCGTTTTCGCTTGGGGCGCGGCTGAGAGTTGTTGGAAGAGTTGTTGTTTTTCAAAGAGCGGCGAATTGAACGGAGGAAGGAGAGAAATGAAAGGGGAGTAAAGAGAGTGAAAACGGGAGCATTCGGAGAGAGGAGAAAAGAGAGGAAGACGTGAGAAGCGAGGAGAGAGTGAGGAGTTGGAGATGAGTCCATTGCGGTGGCGATGGGTGGAATGAGGTGGGAAGGTGAAACGGCGTCATAGAGTGCATCTAGGGCTTGGGAGTTTTTGAGGAGTTTTTGGAGATCTGAGAGGGATTGTTCGGAGAGAGGTTGTGGGTTGTCGGGACGGTGATTATCTCGGAGGTCTTCTATCTCAGTTACTATTCGGGATATCGTTTCGTCCATCTCCGTCGCCGATGATGGGTGCTCCTCCACTCAGCACGGAGCAAGAGTTTTCAGTTGTGTCTGCTTTTTCTGTGTTTTTATTTTACTTTCGAATTCTAGTTCCCGCTTTAGATACTTTAATTGTCCTAACGTGTCATTTAAATTTAGATATAAACAACTGTAGCAAATACCCGAGCTATATCACACAGGGACAAAGGGTTGTTAATTGTTATACATATATAATTATTATGCCATGTTTTAAAAAAATCTAAGATATTAAATATATTTTTTATTAATTAAAGATATATAATATAATGTTTAAACTATATCATTGAAATAAAACAAAATAAGTTATAAAATTTTGTTTTTTTTAACAATTAAATTAGTAAAAAATTTCTGTCTTCGCAAGAGTTTCCGTTTGAATTCATAATCCATTTTGTCATTCACATTTTCAAATCGTTAACATTTAAATAATTACAAATATAAGCTAATATAATCTTCCAATTGTATATTAAGGTTATCTTTGGATTTGTAGAATGAGATGGAATATAATGGTATAAGTTTAAGTTTCATTGTTTAGATTAATTAAAAATGGATGGAATGGAGTTGAATTTGGTGGGATGTATTCCATTATTTTTCCATCACTTTTTTCTCTCTTTTCTCTCCTCGAATAAATAGAATAATAGGTATCAGCAAGAAGTGTAGGAACGAGATTTCTGGACAAGAAGATACTGATGGCAGCTTGATCAACGAAATCTTCCATGTTCGGAAACAAGACGATCTCATATATCATGTAAAGCAAACACGGCGTTGAAAGCATTCTAGTTTCCAGCTTCAGTAAAAGAAACAACATTGTCTATTAGAAACTTTGAAGGAAACCCTCGAATACCCTTTCCTTTAGTCTTGAGATTGTCTTCCACATCCTTCTTACTAATGCAAAAAGCTTCAACAATAAGAGGAAACTTACCCTTCAATTTTGGTGAAATGATAAAATTGATCTATTCCATCCTGAAATATCTAAACAAAAGAATGATATCTTTATTTCATTCCGCTCGGCTCCACTTCATTTCACTCCGTTCCACTCCATTCCGCTCCATTATGCTCCGTTCGTTTTGTTGTATTCAAACATAACCTAAAAAACAAAGGTAGTAATGAATAAAGCATTTAATAGTATATAGTTATTGTAAACTTAAACAAACATCATTTCAGCAATACCAAAGTTCATAACTTCTTTTTACATCCTACAACAACATGAAGAAATATATGAAAATCTATATTGCTTATTCGAATATGCAAAATGCACTATGAAGGTTGTGTTCCAATGATTCATAAATTTACTAAGTTTCATAACAAGCATGAACTAAAATTTGTTGTAAAATTAAATCATAAGTGTAACATATCAATCATCAAAGATCTCCATTTAAATCATTGTAAATTATTAGTCTCCCTGTAACTTTTAAACTGAATCATCATATATAATACAAATTAAGTATGTCAATATCAAACAGATGACCACCAATATAAATCAAACAATTATGAATTGTCTTTTTGTTTTATTTAAAATAAATAATACAGAAAAGGATCATTCAAAAAGATGTAGATTTAAGTAGTTTTGAAATTTATTTTACATGTCACAAACATTCGCAGAGTTACAAATATAAACTAACAAAATGTATCAACCTTTATGCATTGATCAAAGTAGTATTTTCAAATATTTGTAACAACAATACACTTATTTGATACAATATAAACATTTAGAATCTGTGTGTACATTTGTAAAAATATTTGTAACTTATTTTTGTTTATAAAAATAATTGTATCAACAATAGACTTTTTTCTGTTTATAAAAATAATTGTATCAACAATAGATTTTTTCTGTTTATAAAAATAGTTGTAACTTATTTTCATTTAACTCTCTAGCAGACAGAAAACCATTTTCTTCCTCATCATCAGAAGCAAGAAACCGCACCAATTTATTATAGCAATTGATATGAACATGATTGAACTCCAACCAGTTCATTCTCAATATCACGTCAAGATTTCCCAACGGCAAGCAAATAAGATCAAAACCAAAGTCTCTATCAAAGATCGACATAGGATAATTCAAACAAACTAGAGAAGTAGTCATCAATCCCTTAGCAGGAGCTTCGACAACCATTTCTCCCTTCATAGAAGAAACAACAAGGCCTAGACTTTTCACACAACCAACATCAATAAAAGAACGAGAAGCACCAGTATCAATAATAACAATCAAAGGCGTATTATTAATGTAAAATATACCTCTGACTTACCTATCATTACTGGAAGTATGAGTCCCCGACAAAGCAAACACCTATCCTCTAGTTGAAGCTTGCTTTGGCTTTTGGAAATTAGTATTGATATGTGTCGCATCGCTGCGAAGAGGGGTCGGCAATGAGAGAAGAGTCGCCACCGTTCGTTATTTATCCCAAAGAGAGGGAAAGGAAACGATCAGAGAAAACCTACGAAAAGGGAATAAGACAGGTCATCATAACCAAATCTTGGGTTCGAGAGCCGGTTACGCAAGGGGAAGGTATTAGCACCCCTCACGTTCGTCGTACTCGACGGGATCCACGCTTGTTATCTATCTAAATGGTGTTAACCTATCTAAGCTACAGGCCACGGGGACAAAAGAAACAAAAAGAGACTCGATAGAGCATCGCCGCTCTATGCCTACGTATTCCCTCGTGCAATGGGAAAGTCAGAGTCAACGTAGTTCGGCAAACTACGGGTCAAAGTGGGGAAGGTTGCTCGTTAAGACTTCGTTGTCTTGTGCCTACGTATTCTCATCTGGTACGAGAAATCAGAGCAAACGTAGTTCGGGATGACACGACCACTGGTTGGTTCAAATGTTTTAAACCGAGTATGGTTAAACAGTGGTTCCAGCAATTAGGGACGATGCTTGTTTGCGGTAGAACCAAAGCTTAACAAAACTCTTTCTGAAAATGGTTTTCCAATTAAGATCCCGAAGGATAAAAAGATTTGATGTTTTTTTTGTTTTTTGTGTTTTTTAAGACAAGAAGTGAATTGAGTTATGGTTTGAAACTCATGTCGCACTAAAGACTATGACTCGAGAGCGAATGCGTCGCATATCGCCCAAAGGGCATACGCTAAACACTCTAGATAGTTGAGAGGATGCCCCCAACCATCATTCCTCGAGTACTTAAGGCTCGTAGCATACGACACAAATCTTTCTTTATTAAGTGTTTTGAATTGTTTAGGAGATGAGAAGAGAAAGACTCGAACTAAAGGGAAACTGGACCCTAAAGTTATCATGCATAATGCTCCTAAAGTTGGGGTGAAAGGGAATGAAACTATCTTAATGTTGTCATGCAAAGGATTGAACACCTAATGTCTCTCCTACTCCCATCCTAAACGGAGGGACTAGGAATCCTAGGGGGATCATGGCACAAGGCCAAGTAAACACTAAATAATTCACTCACAAATGAAATGAGAAAGAAAATGAAATTGATTGGAATAAATGATAAACCACAAAGCACATTAATTTGTTAATTCAAAATAAAATGACAAAATAAAATGAAAATGAAATAAAAATGATGAAAAATAAATTAACACATTAAAATATGATTTTTTTTGGATTTTTATGATATTTAAAACTATTTTTAAAATAAATAAAATAAAACAATAAAAAACTAAAATGAAATAAAAAGGTGAAATAAACAAGTTGCTAAAAAAACAGGTTTAGGCGCATGATAAGGTACTTAAGGCAAGGCAATTAACCACTGGGGTGGCAATACATCCATTGTATCAAGCCACTCCATTAAATGAAATACCTAAACCAAGTGAATTTTTGGGCAAGCTACAAGGCAAATGCAAGTAAAGAAGCCAAATACGATTTGATCATAACTTTGTCAAAACTCAATCATTTTCAGTGAAATTTTAGTCAAAGTTGCTTGTTTTTTCATGAGGAATACAATGGTAACCACCATGTTCCCAAAAAGTGCCCACACACACACAAAATCGAAGGCTTATGCAATTGTGGCTTTAAAATGCATTTTGGAATGTTTGGACCAAAACTGATGAGTTTAAAAGCTAACAAGGGTCTGCACATGCTTTAAACATGCTACTCATGATTATGCTCCAAGAGAAAAGCTCAGTCTCTCAATGAGTCAAAATGTGATTGTCAAGTTGCAAGTTTAGTGAAATGGTTTAGAATGGACTTTGTTGAAGGTGAGAAAAACACTTAGAAGGGGGGTTGAATAAGGGTTTTGAAATAATTATGGCAATAAAAACACCCATTATTTTTATCCTGGTTCGTTGAACTCAACTAATCCAGTCCACCCTACCAAGGTGATTTGCCTTTCTCAACAAGGACTTAATCCACTATATTCAAACAGATTACAGTGTCAACCACTAAGAACAATTGTCTTAGTCTTCTCAAGAAATCCTGACCACAACTTGGTCTTCTTAAGGAACCTTTTGAAACTAAATGTAAACTAACAAGTGTTTAAGATGCTTCTAAAAAGCTATATCACAACTATGATTTTTACACTTATATTAAGAACGAATAAAACTACTCAGCTTATGAAAAATATTGTATGAAAGCTTGAGAGTAGTTTTCAATTTGATTTCTCAATAATCCGTCAACTTTGAAATGTTGTTGAAGACGTCCTTTTATAGAGCAGAAAGTCCAATGCTTGAAGACTGTGCGTAGCAGAATAATTGTAGCTTTTTTGTCTTCTATTGACTTTAGCTTTCCCAGAAGAGGAATGTTCAGACAAATCCCTTTTGTCTGATTTCCTGTGCCATACATGAATAAGGAAAGAGTTGTTTGGAATATGTCAACGAATATATCTTTGAATAATATTTTCTTCAACAAGCTTCTGTCTCAAAGTTATCAACATCAGATTTTTGGAGTGATCAGAGTTTGATGATATCAGAGTCTTGATGTTATCAGAGTTTTGCATCCAAATGTGCTTCAGCGTGAATATCAATAAGAGCAGAGTTTGAATAACAGAGCCTCTGTACTTGCAGCGAAAAGT